AAAAAAATCAGGAAAAAAAAGAGAAAAACCGAGTCAATAAAAATAGTCTTGCGGTTTTAAATAAGATTTCTATCCAAAATCTAGTCTTGGAGCTCAGCATGCCACAATTTGTCCACCTAGCTTTACAGCCTATGGGTCTGAGATGCCCTCCCTGTCCCAGGGGTTCCCCTGTCCATACAGTACATTTTGGACTGTGGCCACCGTTCGAGGCATGCCTTTGCTCACATTGGTAGATGGCAAAAGCAATCAGCCCAATGGTCTCTGCTTGATGTAGGCCACAGGGCAGGAATTCAGACTGCAGGACTTAATGTCAACACTTTCAGGTCCAGCCTCTTCTGAACACACCATTCATTGGGCCTGTTTTGTCACTATGGAGGGCAAGACCCATGACCTTCACATCGAGTTTATAAACTGCTCAGGTATCTATGTCAGCCTGTACCCCTTCTATAGTCATCTCTTGTGGCTGTCTCTCACCTAATTACTGTGGGAGGGTAACAAAGGAAACTCTGAAGTGACACTGTTCTGTGGCTTGGTCTTTACATTTTCTCAAAATGGAACCTAATCAAACATTTGGTGGAGAGAACATGATGGACAGAGCTGCTCTGGGTCTCTTCTCCAACTCTAGCCTGCTGTGACAGTTACTTTCAGAGTAAAACTCCATGATGATTTCCTAGTTTTCAATAGCAATGGGCTTTTCCTGGGGCTAGTACTGCTGACCAGGTCCCTTATTTCTCCCTGGGGCCACCAACTCTCTGGGACTTTTTCTCCCAGGGTGCTGGCCTCATCCACAGTCATGTTTCTCTTCCAAGGCACTGGCCTCATTCTGCCAATTGGTGTTTCTGATTTTTTTTTTTTTTTTCAAAAAGTCTATTTTCACGATCATTTTGATTTGGGGAAGAGCCAGAAGTCACACTCTGACAGATCTGATAAATGATGTGTGTGAAACATGCCTGTCCTTTCTTTTGATGACACTTAGCAACAGTGTTCACCGTATTTTTTATACTTCATAAAGACAATAGAACTGTGTCAAAGTAGCAAGAACACAACTGCATTCAAAGCAAAGGGGATCTGGGGGGTACATAGAAATGTCTTTCACGGCAATAAATTTAAACGCACTATATGTTTTGATCAGGATGACTACTGCCTTGGAGTCTTCCCTCTGTAGCAGTTATGAAGCAACGGCGGAAATGGTAAACTTGGCAGAGTAATTTAAAATGTTCCCATTTGTTTGGCAAAATAGCTTGCCTCAGGAACAGGATGGCTTTGGACTGTTTTCTCAAGTATGTTCATACTCCAGAGGGCATAATCATCATAGAGTACTTAATGAAAGTGATTACCCAGAAGTGTTCCACAGTACTCAGAGTATGCATGGAATAAAACATTATGCAACGATTTCAAAGAAAATACAAGTTTTAATATAAATGTATACATGTATATAAACACACTCTGCCTATTCTTCCACCCCCACACAGCCTATTCATCTACCCACCTCTTAAAATATTAGAAAAATATTCCTGTTTGAATGTATCAAAGCCAACAATGATTTATTCTTAAAAATATAATTTTTAAAATTTGATTAGGGTCTCACTATACAGCTTAGACTCTTAGTGATCCTATTGCCTCAACCTCTCTAGCACTGGGATTACAGGAATATGCCACCACACTCAGTTCTGGGGCCAGCACGGTGAGCCTGGGGTTCTGGGGTGGGCATGGCATGGAGTACTGGGGACTGAACTTGGGTGCTTGCCAGGCAGGTGCTTAGATTGTTGAGCTATCTCCCCAAGGTATTGTGGAGAATTTTTTTGTGTATGTGCTATGTAATTTTCTAAAATTATTAATGTAGAAATCCCATCTTTGAGGAGCCTTAATTTCTTTCAAAATCATTAGTGTTTTTTATCCTTGTGTTGCTTTCCAACATAAAACAAGTATTTAAGCCAATAGCCTCCTGGTCCTGGTTTGCTGCAAGAATGAAGAAGCTACAACTAAGCAGGAAAAAGGCATGAGTGCCCTTGCAGCCTAAATGTGCTCCTTGTTCTATAGTTCTTTCTAGCTTATTCTTTTTTTCTCTTTCTTTTTTTTTAATTTTTTTTAAATTTCTTTCTTTCTTTCTTTCTTTCTTTCTTTCTTTCTTTCTTTCTTTCTTTCTTTCTTCTTTCTGTACAGGGTCTACAGGGTCTCACTACACAGATCTGACTTACAGTGATCCTGTTTTCAGCCTCCCAAGCGCTGGGATTATAGGTGCCACCATGCCCAGTCTCAGCAGCTGTCTCAGCATGCCCCAGGGGGTGGAGCTGGGGCCGGCACACTGGGGATCAAAGCCTGGTTGCTGTGCCTGCCTAAGCAGGCACTTTAATCCACTGAGCTATCTGGCTGGCCTTTCTACAATTCTTAAGACTAAATTGTTTTTGAAAGAAAAGCTCAAAATGATACATCAGAAAATGTTATCCTTTAGTTAGGAATGTCTAATTCAACAACAGTCAACAACAAAGACATTTTCTAACATTCACATGCACCTGACCAGAACACAGTAAGTTTCAGTGAAATTTTTGCCAGTCTGCTAAAGTGACACCCTATTAGCATCTACAACTGCTTTAAATGCAATGCTTGTTTCTTGGCAACATATTCACTGTATCAGTATTTTGGAAACAGCTTTGGCTTCAGAGCCCGTGCTTGGATTTAAATACACTGGGATCATAGCATTTTCTCTACAGCTACAGCTGATCCTCAGTCATCACAAAGTGTTGGAGCAGATGACAGAAATACACAGAATAAACCTATTAACTACTTTTGGTAAGGGTCTGGTATTCCCTAGGTGTAAGCCAGGAACACAGTTACTGGAGACACTCAGGAGAAGTTCTTCCAGATGTGCCTATGGTGCTGACACTGAGCACAATATCTTTTACCCTTCTCACTGGAATGAACAGATAATACTGACAGAATATCATCACTATTCTTCACTGAGGTAATGTGAACTTGATGCATTCTTCAAAAACAGCAGTTACATATTTGCACTGAAGAGAAATGAGCAACTCTTACATACTGTCACTCTTCCTGACACCATCTTTAGAATGTAACTTGTTACTTCAGTGGTTGTAAAAAGTCATATCTGTTATCAGAAACCCTTCAGAGGTGCTAAATTTTTCCAATTTAAGAAAATATGATTAAAAAGAATAATTCTTTTTAATAATATTCTTTCTTCTTAAAAGAATAATAAAGAAGTCAGCTGTGGGGTATGAGTTAAACCCCTGGTAAATGTCCTAGACAGAACTCTTTGCTCTCTGTTGCAATATAAGATGAACCACCAGAGCGAGGGTCTGGCCTGCCTGGATAGGGATTCTACCTTGGTGCACAGGTTAAGTATCTAAATACTGTTTACTGAGTTTTTCAGAATATGAAGGTTCTGTTAAACTTTTCGAGTATTTCCATATTTTGGGGTCCAGAAATTTCTAGGTTTAAAAGAATCAAAGCAGTTGGGCATAGCAGCACATTCCTTTAATCCTAGCATTCTGGAACACAGCGGCAGGAGGATGACAAATTTAAGCCCAACTTGGGCAACCTAGAAAGACCCTATGTCTTACTTTCTTGTATTGCTGGGGCTAAATACCTGATACCCACAGAAAGTTAAAGAAAGTTTATTTTATCTCACAGTTCATAGATGTTTCTGTCCAGAGTTGGCTCTTTCTAAATAAGGGTGGCATGGCAGTGTGAAACAGCAAAATTTGCTTCTTCTCTTTTAATTTCATCCAGACAATAAGCCTATTAGTCACTGCCACCCACACCAGACCCAGGGTGGGTCTTCCCTCTTCAGTAAATTCATTTTCTATACCTAGAAGTATGCTAAACCAATCAATGGACTAATCCAGTATCACACACTCTTAATGCAGCCACTCTCCAAAACACCTATGAGCATATAGATTCCTTGGGGACATCTACCTATAAGCGATAATACCCTGTCACAGAATAAAAAATAAAAGAAAACTCAGTATAGAAGTCCTGAGTTCAGTCCTCAGTACTACTAAAACAAATAAACAAACAAAAAATGTTTTCTCTAGAGAAAGTAGGTATTCCCAAAGTGGCAGAATCCTAAAATGTACATCACAGATTATTTCTTGTTTCTTCTTTCTTTCTTTCCTTTTCTTTTTTGTGCAGGGTCTTGCTACCACACTCTTTCTAACTTGGTAATACTAATTTTGGACACAAAAATATTTCCAAACACTCAGCATTTAGCTATCTGACATTTCCTCACTATATTGCCTCAACATAGAACATGTAATTTTTTTGTATTAGTGATTTATTTTTATATGTTAACATGATTCTTATTGTCTTATAATATGTCTCTATTTTGTATAAAGATGGTAACTTAAAAGGAATTTCTATTGCACATTCACTCTTAAGTGAAAATAGCTTGGATCATCCTTAGTTTGGGTTAAAAAAAGAGAAACCACTGAACATGCACTGGGTAACCAAGATCTTTCACTCCCAAAGCAGTAAGGAAATCATGTTAGC